GGTAGGTAGGGAAAACATTTTATTTACGAACCATGTCCGAAGGATGTGCGTTGTGCCTTTTGAAGCAGGAACTGTCCAATTCATTTTTTTTTTTTTATATATTAAAGAAAATTGACAATAAAATGTTTAGGGTTGCTGGGAATAAATAGGGTCGGTCGGGAAACCGTAACCACACCTATATTTTGTTTTGGCCTCACAGGTCGGAGCAATTCCTCTGTTTAGACGCATGTGATATAAGAGCTGTCCACATTTGCACATGTCGCATATTGCGAATATGAATTGGGGACAGCTAGCTCTTATATCCTTGAACCACATTGCGAAAATGAATTGCGACAGCTCTTATATCCTTGAACCACAACATCATCATGTAATGCGATAGCTCTAGTACTATAGCCCTTCGCTTCGCCGCAGGCGAGCGTCGGCGGAGAGAAGAGCTATAGTACTAGAGCTAGTAATGTGATGGCTAGCTCTAGAACTGTTGGTATAGCCCTTCACTCCGCCACAGCGAAGGGCTATAGTACTAGAGCTAGTAATGTGATGGCTTGCTCTAGAACTGTTGGTATAGCCCTTCACTCTGCCACAGCGAAGGGCTATAGTTCTAGAGCTATGCGATGGCGTGATGATGATGATTGGCATGACAATGTTGGATACAAGTCTAGGACCGGGCCAAAAGGGGGGGTAGATAGATACAATAATGGAACCCAACAAGAGTAGAGAACATGTAACCCTACTTTTGTTGGGTTACATAACTTACATTATTGCATCTAGTGGGTAGAGTACTAGAGAGAATACTTACTCTACTCTGTTGTTTTACATATTTTCATCTTTTTAAGGTTATGGTTTTTAACTGCGGAGCTGAGTCTTAAACCCTTTATAGCACAGCCTGTAAAACTGAAAATGTGTGCACAGTGCACACAAATTATTTTTATGGCTTACTGTTACACCTTTCTTATTTTATGTAGGTATGTGACGTGACATGTGCAGGAGAGAGCGATTATAAACTCCACATTGCTGGAGTGAGTCACAAGCAGGTAATCTATTACAATAGTACTTACTGAGTACACAAGTGTGTCTGACTTCGTGTAGTTACTCAGTGATTAGTCAGTACATCTTCATTTATTACATGTACGTTATATTTATTTACAGTGCATCTTATTTTTTTATAAAATAATTTGCCTGGAAATGTATTTTATTTTCTAAATATGTAACTATGTTTATGTATTTATATCTTGTAACATTACACAGTGAACCAACATTTTGATCCACGTTTTATAAATACTGGTCAACATAATGTAATTGTTGTCTTTTTTTATTTTTCAGAATGTTATAAATCGGCAGAAGGCAGGTGAGTAAATGTGGTGGCACTGGTAAACCAAAAAGTGAATGCAAAAAGTAAATTGTGGATATGTACCACTTTGTTGCACTTGTGCTTGTTTTGTTTTTGCCTCCAATTTGTCCTAGGTCTAATTAAAGCCAACACAACACTTGCCTACACTAAAAATTTAAATTTGATTTAGACTACATGCACACATGTATGTTCCTCCCAGCCTCTTGGTATGTTTTGTTTGAATTTCATTTCCCCCAGTATGTTTGAGTAGCCCATGTGATTTATCAATCATGGAAATTAAGGACAATAATATCGAGAATATTGATTACCTTTAATACATGTTCTGATTACAAGTACTAAAAAAACGTTTACAGTCTTTCAGTGACAAGATAAATGTACATCTTTTGCATGCCAAGGTGATGTCACATGACATATTGAGTAGTGAGTGGAGACCACAGCAGACATTCCTTATAACTTATAGGCCGGCATGTTGGGGAGACATCATGTGACGCCAGTGTAGCTGTTGCAGGAGAGTCGCACGCCACGGTTCCAGTCGCCATGGCAACGAGTAGCAACACCACGTGCAGAATCGCTGATGTCCTCGACCGATTCACCTGTGGTCCTCTCATTGGTGAGTGTGGAGAGGTTTTGCAATGGAAGAGGTAATGCACAGGGGTTTCAGCCCATAGTGTATTAATATAATGTAATAATATATATATATATATATATATTAAATAATATTCTCCATGCGCCCGCCGGACAGAATTAAGATGGGTTCATGATTCGGCTAGTTCACCCAAGTGATCAATATTTACAGAAGCTGTTTCAAGGCGGTCGGCTGGCATCAGAAAAACACATAATCATTTATATCAGATTCACGTGGCACGTGGGCCGGTGTGGTGAGACATTGCATTCCTGCATCCACTGTCTAGTAGTGATTATTTCGTCGATCAGGGCTTGACTTCATTGATGAGTACCAGCACAAGAATCCTGACATTGAGGCGAGATACTACTGTAGGTGCTGCAATGCCAAGTGTGACCCACGCACGATGCTCCCTCACCTCACCGGACTAAGGCATCGTTCGCAGACCTTAGTGAGTAGCATAGATGCTTCCCCCAAAGCACACATCAGGGATTATGTTGCTTCTTTCAATAATGTGTACCAGCTGTGAGACGGTTGTTCTAAAGAAATATTGTACAAGCAGCGATTCTGAAGATAGTGATATGATTTTGAATGTTTCTTTAACATAGATGAGCTCGTCGGTAGGATATATCAAAGAGAGATAAAGATATATCTAAAAGAGAATTTGCATATAAGAAAACATCCTAGTTGCTGCTAAAGACATAACTGCAGGCTAGCATAACATCTCGCACAAGTGCTTATTCTACGGTTCCTTACATTTTCTTTATGGCCAATAATTCAGAGAGATACACGTCCGGACCTTTACTGCCTGTTCAGGGGGGCGAGCAACAAGAAGTCAGAACAGAGTCTCATATCAGAGATGTTCGCCCGCCAGTTGGAACAAGAGAATGGGCGTGGCAGAGTCTGCGTCGTTGTTGAACCCATTTCTAAAGAGATGACACATTCTGGTATTATTAAAAGTTCCCATGCTCCTTCAGAGAGTTCCAATACTCTGCCATCATCCGGATTAAAGCGAAAGGCCAAAGGTGTGTATTCTGTCGCTCGAGTAGCTATGGGGTTTTATGTTGCGTTGTCTTGGCAACTCGACAACGTAGTTTTTATTCATGAATATATTTGTGTTTTATATCTCTATTTCTACAGTTCATTGCCCACACTATTTCTGTATGTTCCATTTGACACTGTTTATACAAGAACTATTACTTAGTGGTTTATTCAAAGCCAATAAAGTATTTATTTTATTAAACAGATGTGATGGGTGAAAATGCTGTCAAGCGAAATACACTGAACGGTAAGTCCAGTGTCATCGAGTTAAGATAAGCTGTGCAAATTCAGATTAAAAACTAATTGCGGATAGTGTATAATTGATTGTTACACCTGCATGATTTTACACTACATTGCTTGTCACGTAATGTTGAGATGTATTGACATTTTTACATGTAACATTGTGTAATTGGGATTTAATTTACTACTTTAATATTATATTTATTATACTGTATGATTGAATTGATACAATATTGAGATGTCTGTGCCATGTAGTACCAAGTATATCTCATTGCTCCCATCACCATCAGTAAAGTGACAACTTCAGACAATACTTGAGCTCCCAATCCCATGTACCTTGTTTTTTTCTACCTGCTTAATTGGCAGCCATGACATAATGATTTTATAAACATTTTATTGTAGTCTCCCATGGGAAAGTCTACCATGCTCATTACGAACAAGGTTCCAACCAGCATCCTAATGAAAGCTGTAAAGAATATCCTTACTCAAGGTATTAAATAATTTTACTGATGTTGTTACCATAAAGTGAGAATGTTTATACGATTTGAATAGTACATTACCGAAATGACTTGCCAATTTCCACAAAATATGATTATTTACTTCAAGTACAATCAAAAATTGGTGCAAAACTAGATGTGTATAGCGAATTCTTAGATATTTTTCTTATATTCTGCAAAATAATCAGTCGAGATTTTCATTTGTAATCTGATTATTTATGTCAATAGTCTCTACTTAAAATATTTTCAAGGAAGTAATCCATACTTATTATAATGCTGCTGCTATCACCTATTCATTACATTGCAGTGAACCTTCTCAGGTTGATCCCACGTACTTGACTGGTTTCGAGCAGGAAGGTGCATTGCTACCAACACCTCACACTGGCATAATAGCAAACAGTGACACTACTGAAGCTTTTGTTGAGAGGTACACAAGTCATTTAATTGAAATTAAATTTTTTGAATTTTTATTAAATACAAGTAATTCCACAATATAATCTTGCACATAGTATCTAGTCCTCTATTCGTGATATGAATAATAATTGAATGCGAATGAACTGAACATTAATGGTATTACTGACCTAAGCTTTTGTATAGTGTAGAATTTACTTAGGTTAAAGTTTGTTTGGGTAACGAATCCAGTTTTGACTCAGGATGTATGGAATATGAAAAAAATATCGGAGGATAATTTTGCTTCAATATGTTATAATTATTTAACTTAATATTATATGTAATATGTTTAGATATAATTACGGGAAGTGCATATACAACTAATTATTAATTACATTTTTATACATTGCTTGTCACATCTCATTTACTATATTACAGTGACGCTCCTCCAGTGGGTTCTATGTACTCGGATGGTATTAACCAGAGAGGTCCACTGTTACCAACTCCTCATGGTAACACACTGGCAAGCAATGACTCGACTGAACTTCATGATGATAGGTACATGCAATAAGTTATTTGACATAAACATAGACATGTTCACAAGAACAGAGAGAAAAGATGCTTCAGATCAAACACAGTAGGTTGTAAAATATTGTGCTTTGGCACAGCCATCACACTGCTGGTGCTGGGTTGATGTGAAATTGTGATATGGCAATGCTAAAGGTGGCTAAAATGTTCCAGGTGTACTCATGGTAACTGCCTGCTTATTTGCTAGCTTTGTGAACCGTTACAACACTCATTCATGGACAGCTCATGAAATAATAAGCTGTGAAGAACTAATAATGGCTGTATAACCCAGTGATTAGCAGAAATCTTAGTTAAAGTTAATGTAATTGCTGTAACAGAAGCATGCAAAAGTGGTCACGTCACAACCTGCAAACTTGTACAGTTGCTATACTACTACCAGGTCCCTGACCTGACTGTATTGCAGATATTGTCTTTAGAAATTATTGTTAAATAGGTGTGGAGGTGCATTGCTACCAACACCTCCTGTCAACGAAATGGCAATCCATGAAGTAACTGATGACAGGTATATGAGGTTTTTATATATTGTTTGCAATTTACTTAATAAATTTCTTTATATTTTGTTTAAAAACTTTATATAAGCAAATCAATAGGGATAAAAATATTTAAAAACATCTAAAATCAATTCCATGTATTTGAATAGCTATGAGGATGGAAGTGGATTGCTGCCAAAACCTCATGTCAACGAAATGGCTATCCATGATGCAACTGATGACAGGTATATGAGGTCTTTATATATTTTTTGCAATTTACTTAATATATTTCTTTATGTTTTGTTTAAAAACTTTATATAAGCAAATTAATAGGGATAAAAATATTTAAAAACGTCTAAAATCAATTCCATGTACTTGAATAGCTATGAGGATGGAAGTGCATTACTACCAACTTCGGGAGCACCAGAACTGGTGGTATCTAACACTGTTGAAATGCACAGTCAGTGGTATGTTAACTTACCTTATGTTAACTTAAGTCACACTTGGCAAAAGCAATAAATATTCATCTCTTTATAGTCTAGACGTCTGATGTGAAATTTGATTGTGTCACATTGAATTATATATATTTTCAATTTATAGAGAATATGCAAGAAACGTTTAACTAACTGCAGGATCAAGCATAGATTCAATAAAATTTGTACTTGTTAGTATGTCAATACTATTGCAATGAAGCACATGATGGCATTTCTATGTATTCTGTTAGTTTTCAGAATGATGGTACATTCTTGCCATACTCTGAAACAGTGGAAACAGGCATCACTTACACTAATGAGATGTCCTATGAAAGGTATATGTAAGACAGTTTCTTTACATGATATTAGACTAGATGGTAATTAAATATAACCCTGGCACTAAAGAACATTTTAAATAATATGTAAAAGATTATGGTCTTGTGTATGTTATAATAAATTAAGTTGGTATTGCAGTAGTAGAGATTGGCACACTATGAACAGAGGCAGAGGGACCAACTTCAGAGGTGGACAGTTTATACAGAGAGGCAGAGCAGCCAACATGAGAGGTGGTCACCCAAGTAACAGAGGAAATATTCCCAACATCAGAGGTGGTCACCCAAGTAACAGAGGAAGTATTCCCAACATGAGAGGTGGTCACCCTAGTAACAGAGGAAGTATTCCCAACATGAGTGGTGGTCATCCAAGTAACAGAGGAAGTATTCCCAACATGAGAGGTGGTCACCCTATTCACATTGACAGTGGCCCCAATGTCAGAGGCTGTGATCCAAATGTCTGGGATGGATACCCTGTTAACACAGGCCATGGCCCTGCCAACAGTGGTGTGTACTCTGGCAATGCAGGTGGTGACTGTAACAGCAGAGTCAGTAATCTTAATAATACAAGTGACTACTTTGGGGACATAGGTACACACCCTGACGGTACAAGCAATGTCCCGCTCACCGACGCTTATTACAGTGGTGTTAACCCTGGCAATAGAGTTGGCTACCAGGGTAACAGAGGTGGATACAACAACAATCCAAGTGATTATTTACACAGCAGTGGTTTTACTAGCCATGATGATGGTGACCCAACAACAGAAGATAGTGGTTTTAAAAAGGCAAGCAGTGACCTCCAGGAAATACAAGCTCATCACAGTAATACAGGTGTGGTGCACAGTGAGTTTAATAACAGTGGTGTGAATCCCACTAAAAGAATTTTTGAGTATGGCAACAGAGGTGGCGACCCCTATGTTGTGTGTACTGAACCAAGTGAGAGACCTTATGATGAGCCAAGCAACAGAGGGTACGACCAATATTGTGGAAGTGCTGTTTCATACAATGCTGCTCATGAAAACACTACTAACCAATATGGACATGGTGCAATGGTCAGGGAAAGGTAGGGTGCCATACTAACTAACATTAATTTCCTTGCGAAAATATCATACTTAAACAGTGTTCAATAATGGGTACAAGTTTTTATAATATTGAATTAGTATATTAGTAACATGATGATCTTATTTTGATATATAAATAATTTAGTTCAAGACTATCCAAGTACATTCCAGGCTATTGATCAACAAAATTATCTTTAAAATGCGAAATGGTTTTCATGTGACGTCTTTCCATTGCCCCCTCCATATACTGACAGATACACTCGTTATTATCATTGGACTTGGACTTGGAGCTGCATTGGGTCTATTATTCTGTTTAAGGTCGGGCACATTGACGAAGCATGGCACACCTTCCCAGGAGAGAAAACCACCTCTTCCTGTAGATTCACCAGTCAAACCACCACTCCCCACAGGCCAGCCACCGGCTGTCAAATGTCCACTCCTCACGTCAGCTGACAGTGGTGTCATGGAACTGCTCAACAATCTGGTAAGCTTCAACTAACGTGTTTAGTTGTCACAGTCTCATGTCCGGGTCGGATGTATATATTACATATCAGCAATTATCCTTTTTGTCTATGACAATAATTTATGTTAATAGAATATGGGGTTAAATCGTGTTATTGCAGATGACTTTGTGGCATTATATTTATCCTCAAGATTATCCAAGTTTAGTTTAGGGAATTTCTTACACGGTATTGGAAATATATTGTGCATATACGAACTTTTCGTGCATACAAAATAATAATCAGAAACCGCATTACTCATGTTACTTATGTCTACAGTCTAGAAAGTTCTGTCATGCCATCGTTGCAGGGACACTACTGATAGAGCACATGCGTAATTGAAATGAGCATCGTAGCTTATTGTTATCACACCTTTCTTATTCTTTCTAGTCCAATTGTGTGGTGAATAATGAGGAGGAAGCGGCAATAGCACTTCGTGTATCTAATGCATTGACACAGGCCCTCCTGCAGTACAGGCTGAGGAATGTTACGACAGAGGTATATACGTTTATTCAACTGTAACTTGTACTTTTAGAAAGGAAGCTATTGGTATAAATCAGAACACTAGTATATTTAATAAAGGAATTTGTGATTACAGGTGCGACCCCATAAGAAATGATGACGTTCTTAAGAAAGGAGTGGTATTTTCGTCCATCAAGTATTGACAGCTACCACAAATCTATCAAGATACGTATTTGTAAATAAATTGTGTATGAATCACTCGAGCTCCCTTCTTCTTTTACAGTTGAAATAGGTGTGGTGTTGTATACGAGCAATGCGAGCACACATATAAATCATGTTAGTTTTCTTTCACTTGTAAATAATTCGTAATACAATTTGTAAAAATGTGTTCATGTGTGATGATTTTTTAATAATGCTGTACACATGTATCTTGAACTATCTTCATAACAGCTGGGCAAGGACAGTATTATATTACAACAAGAGCTCATAAACCATCAAGGGTCTATCATTTATGTACTCTTCATTACCAGCCTAGTGATTGTATCATGAGTGCAATGTGAGTAGTTGATTGAAGTACACTTCACGTAATATATTGATATAAAAATGAGAAAAACTATATAACGCACAATTTTGTATACTTTCAAAATAACATATACATATATATTTATTTATTTACACACAGCTCGTGCCGCCAACTATTCAATGAATGACCAGAATAACATGGAATTTTCGATACTATTAAATAAAAAATGTGAAACAAATGTAATCCTCAAACATTGGTCTCACAAGTTACTAACAATTTACAGTCAATTGGAGCAAATATAACCTGGTTACATTACGCAGCATTATATAGGCAAACCCTCCTCATTACGCAGCATTATATAGGCAAACCCTCCTCATTTGCCCATCATGGCCAATAAAAAAGTGATTGAAACTTGTCATGATCTCACACCTTTGTCGATTTGTGAAGAATGAAAGCAATTTCTCGAAATGTAGTTGCATTAACGTAGGGGTCTATCATACAGAAAATACACTGGTGATCTGTTAAGGGTGAAAATAATTCCTACAAATAGACACGTGGTACTAATATATTTAACAGAAACGTTCATCCTACCTACACGTAACACACTACCAAGTAAACCGATGACAAAGCTTTCAAAACTACAGGATTTATCTCACCATATCGAATGTTATCTTATCTGACTACACACTTAAATATTCTGTCAACAATCTGCAGATTGACTTAATTAACATAAAATTTCAATCCTACTTTTTATGATGTATGATATTATGTTGGTAAGAATTACTTGGCTTTACTATATGACAAGAACCTTTCACCCTATCATCTCCAACACTAAAAATCCAACTCAAAATTAGGAAATTAGGAAACATACTGAGGTAGCCAAATTAATACTAATTGGGCGGCGCGTTGCTCTTTACGATATCTGTTTCACCGAATTGGTCGATACTCTATAGTTTATGCATAGGTCTGTGAGTGATAAAATAAATAATACAGTATCAGAAATAGATATTCTCTGTATTATTTACTCATATAAACATATTTTTCCAAGGCTGTATATAACAGAAATGTGCCAAGATGCAAAGTGAAGTTAGTTTGGTTTGTTCAAATATTTAAACTGAAATATTAATTCTTCGAGAATCTGCCAACAATTTTTTAGGTTAACTTTCTAAGCTGCATACATTAACACATGGATTTAGCATATATACATGACTATATAATATGTGGTCATACAATTGCAATCTCAATTATTCCGACAATACCAAATGATAACAATTTCTCTGTATAGGCCAATTTACTGAGGTCAAACTAATTTTCTAGAAAAAAAGTGAATGAAGCTAACACGTACATTCAAAACGTAAGCCATGTCTGCACAGTTGCAGCTCGGCATTTAGTCAAAAACTGTATTTGTCGGGGTATAAATACTATTTCGAATAATGACAAGATGCAGATATACCTAACAATGTACACATACTAGGAAACACGTACACAATCATGTTTTCATATCACGTTTTTAAGATATGGCGATCTTTACCGATAGATTACCAATTATCTTACTATCAGAGATTACTAAACGTTCTATCAAGTGTCTCTGACATCTCTCTCAGTATCCAGGGTGCGAAATTAATGGGAGTCCGGAGTCAAATACTCCCTGATTTACTGTCGGACTCCCTGATTTGACATATGCAGGAGTCCGTGTGACTCCCTGGCAATTCTGCTATACCAACTAGTTCGTTCCGGAGCACGGCCTCACGGAATTACCGTATTTTTCCAGCTAATGTCGCAAAAATTTTGGCGTGTTCAAAAGTTAATTTCTACCCCTGGTATCAATACAGCTTTACTACCAAAGTGCCTTGCTTGGTACAAGCACTACCAATCAACTTCTCACATGTTTTGCAACAGCTAAATTATTAGAATAAGTTTATCGGATTTCATTATAATTAATGTGTTTTATAATAAATCCAAGTATGTAACCTGTTAGCGACAGTTTCACTAACCGGTCTACCTGTCTTTGTCAAGCAGAGTGGAGTTGCTTGGGTTAGGGCATCACCAGACAGCAACAGGTACCAAAGGTTCGGAATGCAGCAGTTAGTTATTAATTTTTAGTTCGTTTTTATCCAGTGAGTGGGTCCTGGGATTTAGAAGATTGATGTAGACACAAGAAATTTGCCAATTCATTTGACTTGTCAAAAAACACGTGCCACCTGGTGACAAACCCAAGCAACTACATTCATATATATGATGACATACAGACCAGTTATTGTAGCTGTTGCTAACAGGTTACTTAACTTGGATTTATCATTAAATAAAATTGTTCTCTCAATGCAAGAACAACAATACACGACTTTTGGTGTAAGGCAAATATCCTTTGTAGCCATTCATTAGTACACGTTATAAGGGAAGTGAATTCATCTATCCTACACCCCATGTTCTCACTTACATGAGTGTCTTGACAGCAAATCACGTGAACTCTCCGATCCTATGCTATTAGTTATAACTTCTCAGTTGCTGCTAACTTCCATCTAGTCTGACTTCTGGCAGTAGAGCTTTTTCAGTGACTTTAGCTCTTCAATAAGCTGCTTGTTTTGACTTTCCAGCACAGCCACTCTGTTTTCTAGACACTTGACATACTCCTTCTTCTTGCGTCGACACTCCCTTGCTGCCTCCCTGCAACAAGCAGTTGAATGATTGAAATCACATGCTTTATTGTCTTATGGCAATATTTACAAAATTATACACAGACACTAAACAAAATAACCTTGTGGCTGTTAAGACTCATCCCAGCACACCAAAACTCATCAAAATATTCTAACAACAAGTGCCGCAGAGCGACAGCGCTTAACTGACGTGTACTGTAGTCAGGTATTCTTCTGATAAACTCACTGGCTACAGAATCAAGTGCGCCCTCCTGCCACCGCGTTCACGCTCAGAGCATATATCTAGGATACTACTAATACAGATCTAAAATCTATGATAGGCTTTGCTATACCTACTGCAGGGCCCTCGCTACTCACTCGCCAATTCGCCAATGGCGAACAAATTAGTAATCTGGCGATTGAAAGTCTTATTTGGCGAAAAAAGTGACGAACGTAATTTTCCTGTAATAAACATGACCCAGCAAACATCGATCCTATTTGATCGTCGAAACAGCAATGTTTCTTTTTGCGTGCCGGCACACTCCTGTGTCATTCCCGATTGCAGCTTTTTCCTGTACTTCCCCCCCCCGTACTTCAATCAATGCCGCCCAGCCAGCAAGCACGAGCCACGATGTGCACAGCCACGGACGTGGGTAACAGGGGTGTCGCGGGATGCTTTTTTCGTTTTTGTTTCTTTGGCGTGAATGCGTAGGGCATGCTGCAGCGCGGGAGAATGGGTCCAGATGCGTGAGTCTCCTGCGAAATGCGCAGCGTGAGACTTAGTAGGGCTGCTAACAGAGTAAGATTAAACTAAAGGGTGAAATTTTATTTTCGGGGTGCATCAAATGCAGTCTAAGACGTTCAAATGTTTTAAATTTTGCTGGGGGAGACCCCCAGAACCCCCTCTACCTCTCTTCCCCGCGTCTGCCTGCAGAATCCACATTCGTGCCTACTGCACGCCTTTGAATCCATCATGTGCGTTTTTCCCCAAACTGGGCATTACCACCGTTGTCTAATTTTCCCTCAGAAGAAACCCTGGTGTTTAAAAAAGGCCTGTCTCCAGACACAGCACGGCAACGGCGCTGGCAAAAGTCAAATGATTTTTACTACGCCTGTGCGTGCACGTGTGTGCGTGCGTGCGTGTGCGTGCGTGTAGGTGTGTGTTTGTGTGTGTACTGTGTGTGAGGTACTGTAAAAAGTAGTAAAACTGATAAGTACTAACTGGGGAATATAGTCAGCTTTGATGAGCAGCTAATTTTTCTGGTTCAATAGCATCCCGAAGTTACAAAAGTAGTAGAGTATATGCATGTGCTGTGAAAACTCTTCTGTAAACTATTAGTATTACTGTAAATAACTATAGTGTGTGTATATTACTGTCTATACTGTACTGCGCGCGTGCGTGCGTATTGTGCGTCAGGTACTGTAAAAAGTAGCTGTTTGAGACCCTACCATCCACAACAGTTGATGTGGAGAGGGGTTTTAGCAGACATAATTTGGTTAAAACAGCTCTGAAAAATAACCTGAAAACAGAAAGTGTTTGTGACATTCTAACCATCAAAATTGAAGGCCCAGAAGAAGAGACGTTTGACTTTGAAAAGTGCTATGTCCAGTGGTGTGCCAAAAAAGATAAGAGAATTTTCCTGCCAGCATTGAAGAAAAAAATTCAGACAATTTGAATGTCTCTGACTGACACAGAGTCATGGTGGTGAATCATAATGTCACGGTGAATAATAGTTTGTTTGCATTAAATAAGTGTAGTTTTGTACTTCATGCATATAAAAGTTTGTGAAAAAATAAAGAAAAGAAAAATTATTTATCGTCTTCTTGTGTTCAGAAAATGTTAGGCTACAGATGTGGCTAACAGGAATCCAAATTGGCTAATGAAAATTGATTCTGGCTAATTGTTTGGCTACAGGAAAAATAATCCTAGCTAGGGCCCTGCTACTGGTAGTACAATAATAAAGATACAGCTGTGTAACTTTAATGACTTCGCTATATTAACATGTTATCATGGATATGCGTCGAGCGCGAGCGTAGTGATGGTAGTGGGGGAGGGTGGGGGGAGGGGGCTCATAGCAAAAGCAGTTCAGTCCTTTGTTAACAGTCAACAAATCCGTGTTTAACCCTCCTCTTGAGGGTCAAAAGGTTATCAGACATTTACTCTTCGCACGTCAGCGGAAAATAGATTTCATGGCCCTTTTAATAAAGTGATAAAAACGGTAGGTCAGCGCTGAAACAAAAAAGTTTTGCACTCGGTCCGTTAGACCATATCCTCAGAAAATGTCTGATATCTGACCTTTCCCCCACTGCCCTTTGACCTGTGACCTCCAATTTCGCGCTGGTAATGGGTTTCCTCCCTATCACACTACACATCGAATATTAAGAGCGTAGGTCAAGCCATTGAGATTTGTGCCGCAATTCCGTATTTCCTCCTATACCTTAAGTTAAAGGCATAATAGGTCCATTGATTATGCAATTTTAACGAATGCTAGAGTAACTGGCACCATGTGTAGTTAATAAGTACGTTACCTTATAGCCAAACGCGTATTAGTTTGTCCAATATCACTGCTAATTACTAAGAAATGTCTAATTGAAATCCTTAAATCTGGTAATCTGGCGCCAACGCTAAATTGTTTGCCAAGCAAAATAGCCTCGAAACGGTTAGGTGACGTCACATGTCGCTACGGGTGTTGAGCAGAGAATTGTTTGTTCCGGGATGCTTCGACTAATGAGCTCGTAGTATGTATCTCTGGGTGTATTCTTGGTATTGAGGCACAAGTAAATAACCGTGGGTGCTAATGAACGGGTACACACATGTCTTCAATTTCGGACACAGGTGTATTCGTTTGACCAATATACGTAAATACGTATAGTGCCGTCTGCTTTCCATGTTTAGTCTGTGGCCGTGGTTAGTCCGCGATCCCCCCATAGTGTTGGCCCCCAACACAGCCTACTTCATTATCACGAGCGTCCGTGATTCGTACGTGGATTCCATGTTCATTACAATCAGAGATACTGTTACGTATAGAGTTACGGTACTGTACTATCGCTAGCATTGCGTACGGCTGAGCATGTGTGCGAAAATGTACGGTGCACTATAAATCTGTATCACACCCGCTTCGCTGGCAGCGGTTTCGAAACTGTAAACAAATCAGTCAACTGATTTCTTGGACTGTGGATTTCAATTAGACATTTCTTAGTAACCAGCAGTGATACTGGACAAACTAATACGCGTTTGGCTATAAGGTAATGTACTTATTAACTACACAAGGTGCCAGTTACTCTAGCATTCGTCAGCATTGCATAATCAATGGGCCTATTATGCCTTTAAGGGGGAAATATTCCCCCTCCATTGACACATCTTGACCTTTGATCCTTGACTCCCAAATTCGACATCCCGGGTTCTTTTCGCGATCCCCCCCCCCCGACGTCCCGAATATCAAGACCGTACGTCGAGTAGTTAAGATTTGTGCCCAACTGTTAATGGATGGACGCACGGACGGACGGACGGATAATCATGCGATTCTACAAGCTGCATCCGACTTCGTCAGCTGAGCTAAAAATATACACACTGTGCATAAACGTGCACGTCCCGAATATCAATCCCACATTGTGCACGTCCCGAATATCAAGACCGTGTATCATATACACACTGTGCATAAACGCGGTTCACATAGAATATTTATGCGCCTCAAGAAAGATTTTGTCATTGGTTGCTAAAAGATACAACAGGTCCTTTTAAAAAAGGCCACTCCAAACACTCCTATGTTCACTGTTACTATGGGCATACCTGTTCTTCATGAGTCTGTGTTCTCGCTTGCCAACCTGTGCGTGACCTCGTCTGTGTGTGCTAGTTGCCTGTTCCATCTCGTCAGCTGTGTCCTGCTGTGAGTAGCTCTGCTCACATGCTAAACATAAACCAATCCAGTCAATTCAATGACTATTTGTTTAACATAACTTAATACAGGAAAAATGTGAGACTTACTGCAATTTTTTTAAATTTAATTTGAATGAATTTGGCAGTGGAGTGGCAGGTTTCTTGATCTATTTTTGTTATGTAGGTATAAATATCTTGTTATCACCCATGTTAAAACGATTGCTTGAAGGCTGGCTAAGGATTGTCAAGTGAGATGCTAAGATGTCAAGTGAGATGCTGTGATGCTGAGATGTCAAGTGAGATGCTAAGGATGTCAAGTGAGAGTCAGACATATGAATACATGTACACACCTGTCACTGGAATCAACTGCCCATCAGCACCTTGAATCAGCTGCACTGGAGAGTGCATGGACATACCTACAAAAACAGACATTCGGTATTAACCATCCCTTAGTCACATCTATAAGGACTCCAACACTTTCCCGATAGATGTAGAAGTTGGGTATTTAAAAACGATGTCTTGACATCCAAGAAAATGGCACTATGGTAGATCTATAGACAGATCTACATTATCGCTATGTAGCATGAATATAATATACCTTTCAGGCCTGGCATTTGCAACACGTGACCATCATCTGAGCTCTGTGCATATTTAAAAATAGAATCTGGGGTCACTCCTTCTGAATTGGCGTTGGACATTGTGAACGTCTGCAAACCCTGTGCCATGTTTCTGCCCGTCGAAGACACCTGTGGCTCTGGAAACAATTCAAGTGAATCAGCAAGCTTATAGACATACAGTCACCATGAGTGCCACTGTAAGTTTACCCATTGTAATTAGTATTTGGATATGACACTGGGTTGGCCTGCATAACACAGGTGTACAATTAGCTACTGCTTACAAGCATGCAAATGTTACAACCTGTCACTTCGTTTTTTTGAATTATTATTATTTAAGTGAGCCATTCATACATGACAACTTATATAGGCACCCTAATAGTAACAAAACTTATCACACTGAAATTTTCCAAACAAGCACAGCTTTTGGTTAGTTAGTCTGACTGGCAAAACATATCTACCATGTATAAGGAATCATACTGATTCTTGACGGCATGTGACCTTTGTATATTTAATGTTGAATGCTGAATTTTTAATGTTGCACAGCGATGGCTATGTTCCGGAGCAAGGACATACATGTGAATGTACCGTAAACACACCTGCAGCTCCACACGGCAACCTGGGAATCAGGTTACGGACATACATGTGAATGTACCGTAAACACACCTGCAGCTCCACACCGCAACCTGGGAATCAGGTTACGGACATACATGTGAATGTACCGTAAACACACCTGCAGCTCCACACGGCAACCTGGGAATCGAAGCCATGCCAACAGGATCTTGTTCACTGGCCGAATCCGAATCCTGGCTGCTGCTACTCTCCTTCATCTTTGCTAGCTGTTGTCCATCGGGAGACGAAAGCTCGCTCAGAATCTTTCTGTGATGAAAAGGAAGAATGTCGTCATTTCCCACCCAAATGATTAGCATGATGAATGTCAGATAGAATATGTAGTAGAGCCTAATGACACATCACCTGAATTTCATCTTCTATTCATTTTAGATTGTTATAAATTCAACACTTTAAGCAGTAATTAAACACTTAAAAAATTGACACGATTAAAACGTGGAAGAAAAAATGCTTCACCCTTATAAAACCATTTTGTTTATGAAATACAATTTTGTCAAATAAGCTGAGAATGAATTTCTTCTCACATCTGTTTCATTTATAGACTGAAGAAGTTAGTCAAATTACATGATAAGGCCTAAAAAAATAATTGATGTGTTTCCGAGAACGGTCTTGAAAAAATTAGGTGGGGTAGGTAGGGATTTTTTTTTTAAATAAAAAAATCCGAAAATGTCAAGTGTTCAGAGGAGAGGTGAGTACCATATTCTAGGAGTTTGATTTATTTTTTGATTAATAATTGATTTTTGAGAATTGATAATTGATTGATTTATTTTTATTTTTTTTATTTTTGATAAATTTTGAATTTTTTTTTTAAATGGAGAAAAAAAGGGTCGGCCCCTATTTGCTAGGTAGGGTCGGGTTCTCGGAAACACATCTTTTTTTTTTTAGGCCTAAATGCCACCTCATCGATACTTAAGTACCTACCGATATGACGGTCTCCGAGTGTACATTTCACGCCGTTTCTTTGTTTCCCATTCAGGCTGGTCTCGTTTAGCTGCTATCCCTCGAAACTCTGTATTAGCCTGCAGATTAATAATGTGCAAAACATCACACAGAGGGAAAGGGTGTAGTTTTGATCAGCTTTCTTACCTTCTTATGTCTACGGTAACTAATAATATTACTATTAGCAATTACTTACGATATACAATTATAAGATGTCTTAAGTTTCTTATTGTTAACTAGTGTCGCCATAGGCATAGAGCTCATCCATGGATGCAGCAATATGACAATCCAAACTAGCATGAACCAGTGGACATTCATGCAAAACGCACACAAACACATACATCGTGACTCGATCATGTTCTCAGACAAAGCATGACACACACCTGCAATGACTGTAAGCTCTGTGCTGACTGAATCACAGACTGCTGTGAGGGATGAATAAATGGTTGCACGTAGCTGATTGGTTGGCCTGCGCTCGTCATGTAAACCATGGAAACGTTTCCCCGTGAAGCTCTTTCTCTACGTTTTCGCTCTCTCCGCTCCTCTCCTGATATGTCCATGACCATGTACTGAAATGCAAAAACAGGCTTTAGCAAACAGTATATACACACATTAATTTTTATTAGTGACACGTTGCTGTGATGATGGTGATGAAGTGAATCTTATTTCACTAGAACCGTAGACGGGTGAATCATGGTGGAACTTGGAAGTACGAAATTTACAAATCGAAGGCAAGGACGACAACAACAAACATTGATACAGACTATTACAGTTTACAAAGTTTTGCAAATAGTGACCAGGGTACGTTCGGGTATACCGGACCGTACCCAGGGTACGTTCCGGCAGTACCCTGGGGGACATAGACCCTATGAGCATTACTACACTGCAGTCGACTACACGGTACAGTACACCCTAGGAAATACATCAATAATGACAACACTATGACTATACTTGACTATATTATAGGCCTAACTCATTATCTAAGTCTAAGCGTGAAAACACTACACGGATAAACTAGTAGTAGTAGTAGTATACCTGCAGCTAAGCGTTCTTCGTCACACAACTCTGCGCACAAGTATGAAGAAACTTACTAACAGTAACACGTCTTTGCACGTGAAATCTTTGGAACGTCATCCAACTTACGTCAGAGAGCCCACAAAGATCGTCTCGCCTTCATCGATTTATGCCCTCTATGAGCTGTCTGATTGGTAGGATTTTGTCGTTCGAGAATTCTCATTGGTCGCCGAAATATGTGCGTCATTGTGTCTATTAATAGGTGTGAGTCAGTAAACTACTATTGACCTTCAGTGAGTGCAGTGAGTAGACCTACGAGGTAATTAATATGCGCTGCTCACTAAACACAGTCAAATCACAGCCGTACGAAACGGTAGAGGGGGGGGGGACACGTGAGCATCGAAGATTGTTGAGGCAATAATGATGACAATGATAATAATAATAATAAATGATAATAACAACAACAACAATAATAATAAGGCTAATTAATCTAAATACCCCTAACATAAATCTTAGAGTAATTAATCATTCTGACTGATGAGTCAGAATGATTAATCCAAGCATGCATGAATGTAATACATTATACACTTACAGTGTAGCCTAGCTATAATATATATAATTACGTAAATTTTTACGATGCATTTCTATCATGAAAATATATCTATATACAATCAATATAATATATACAGTATATATATATATTAATATATATATCATATTATGATAATATTAGGAATATAAGCATATAGTATATAGGTGCGTGTGCGTGTGCGTGCATGAGCGTACACGTGTGTGCGCGTGCGTGCGTGCGCAATATGTACAATACGTACCATATATACAATATGTTAATTATATATTTATATTTATATAATTTTTATAATTTATATAATTATTCGCTAATATTAATATTTTTTGGCTATTACAATCTACTACATGCACTATGTAATATCGAACACGCCATCATAACAATGCGTTTAAACAAAGAAAAACAATGCGATTAACTATACATTATTCATAATAACTAAATACTGCTTTGCATTTTTTAGTACAGCAGGCTTAATTGGCACGTACTGAAACAACTATCACGTTTTTCCTGCTACAGACATTGTCGCTCTAACTTGGAAGTAACTTGGAAATGCATCTCAAAATATTGTCTGATACTCTGCAGTACATCCACCTTGACGGAACTTACAGCCTGCTAACTGCGAGAAATGCGAAACTTGTGTTTGAATGGTTTAAACTTCTAGATTGCCATAACACAGGCAGTCTAAATGATATACAGGTAAGGAAGTATTTTTGTAATCAGTAATGTACGCGTCTCTGTGTAAAATATTTTTATGTGGCATAGTATTTTCAATTAAAACGACGCGCATTAAGATCAATGGCAATTTTGACTGCAATACTATCGACCTGATAAAAGCACTTTGTGTTTTTTTCAGTTTTTTCATTTCTTGAACGCTATAACGAATTTAGGAAAAGTAAAAATTTATAAGGTGTTCGACATGTTGGACGTTGACGGGTCTGGCGACATTGATTACGATGAGTTTTACTTGATAATATGCATTCTGATTGCAATTAAGGTACGTACGTATCGCGCAAACAGTTTACGAATCAAATGAGAAATAAATATTAAATTTAAAAAAACGCATTTATATATCTTTATTACAATACCCTTGAAATAACTATTATAACTTGGTATTCATGAAAGTTATAGGATTATATATACCGATAGCTAAAAAGAAAGCCACGTTGTATATAATATATACATAGCTGCCACTTGACATTTGAACCACGTACAGGACAATCAAGAAAAGCAGTTCATCTACAGGCACTCCAGAACTGTGTTTGAGCTTCTAGACGAAGATGGATCCAATTCTGTTTCTGCAGAGGAGTTTAAAAACTTTGGTTTCCTTTTCAACTTCCACAGTCGTGCTGTTGCAACAATTTTCGATGAGTTTGACATATCGGGTGACCAGGTTGGTGTCCTGGCTATATTATATCATACTCAGCTTCTATGACACTATAATTTATAGGAGTATGGAAATATGCGCGGGTTAATGATTATCCAGAATTGTTACTGACAACTTCCTCACTAAAACTAATATATGTGGCTTATGTATATAAAGAGTTAAAATGCATTTAATTAAATAAATTCATCTACAGTTTTACGATGTGCAACTCAACAATACTATCTACATGGGCGTCTAGATGCATCAAAGTTCACGTGCTCTGTGTTAGTGTCATTTGTCTATTTATCATTAATATAGTTACATATAGAAGTAAAATATATTTTGGCTAATATATATAAATATATCTATATCTATATTAGGTAAAATATATTTTACTTCTATATGTTACTATATTAGTGATGTATTTAACATATATAAATAGACAAAATTGTGGTTCTTTCACTTCACAAGTCACACTCACGACGATTATATATGCGACTCACGTGATTGAAACTTGACTCTATGCAGGAACTTGACTATAAGGAGTTCAAGATGTTCACAATGGCCTGCATCGACAGACAGATGGACATCGAGAAGGACAAGAAAAAGAAACACGTTCAAAAACTGGTAAGCGATAGACTGCGTGAGAAGAAGAAGTTGGAAGAAGAGTTCCAGAAGCACAGGAACAAGCTGATGTTCGTCACTGCCTTCCTGTCGACCAAGAACCAGTCCGCACATCGGCTGGTGAGGACCAACAGTAGAAAGATATCCGTGTGAGTTTATGTTGACACGCGGGAAGGGCATCATCGAAATCTTCTTCTAACCCATTGAGCAGGAAATGTCTGCAGGAAACATCGCGATAAGGGTACAAGCACAATATTGCGACTGCTTCCGTTTTTGACACAATATGCTTGTGACGTAAATGTAAAATTGTATTTAATTAAACTGAATTTTTAATTAATGATCCTGTTTAAATATGTGTGAAAATGTTGTAATGTCGCTATGCTTTACGTGATAGAACCTAGGACATTACTCTAAGCTGATTAAACGTAAAATAAAGACATGCATATTGTAGTGTGTAAAAATCTCGTGTGTGATAATCACCAGTGCTAAAACCTAAATAAGTACATTCAATTTTGACAGCACTTGGTGTTTGCACCAATTTATTGTACTCATTTGTTGTCTATATAAACACGCTACGTGAAAGTAGCTCATTTTATACACATTTCATTAGACTCGATTCAAGGTGGGATTTCCAACTTGATATTTGGCAACAACCACAGTAACACAGCTACATATCGTAAACCAATTGTCAGCCTACAAACAAAGCATGCTGTTTTCATCAGCAACCGTTGCTAGGTCACCGCTTGCTGTCAGAGACGGTCAGATTACATCGTATGTGGGGAGTGAGAGCTAATGAGAAGCTTCCCCTGGGTTCTGCTGCAGGATAAGAGATGGAAACCTGCCTCTGTCATGTCTGCTATATAGTGCCAGAGTGAGACATTGTCATAGTAGCCGTTCCATCATCGGTGTATTGTCTGTCACCGTGTGGAGAGTATGGCTCACAGGTCGCGTATTCAAGCAGTGACGCGATATACAGCTCTTATGCCCTACAGCTTGACAGGCATCCATATCTGCATCTATTTTTACCGTCACTGTAACAATTTAGCTATAGAGAAATTAGGATATCTTCTTTGTATAAAACTGTACACAGTGGTATCATATGCTAAATCATTATTAAAAAGTATACTTTATATATACAACGCTATACTGCCACTAAGTTCACAGCAGAGGGTATTTTGTATGATAAAATGTAAGGTTATTTCATACAAGAAGCCGTATGTCTGTGAAAAGGGCAGAATCACAAACAATTGTAGAGCAAGAACTTATGTCTATGATAACACGTACAGCGCTATAAATGATCAAATTTAAATAAGAAAATAAGATCACATGACATTTGAGAAATCGTAGAATGGGTTCATCAGGGAAAGGCAAAATGGCAACATTATTCAGAAACAAGCACAAAATAAGCAAATGGATCATTGTTTGGTAAAGCTAATAGCAGAGAATAAAAAAGGATATATCTTGAAGTTAAGGCTTATCATCGTTTTTATCACCACTTACCATCTAACATAGTGATTCGGTCATACAGCTCTAAGTACAAGATTGATTATAGATGCTAGAAAGTGCTAACTGGTAAACTACAACCAGTGTAACATATGCAGCATTTCTACACAAGTACATAGCCCAACTTGGTCAGTTTAATCAGGCAATTGGTCACCATGCCCAGGCACATCTAGTTACCTACGTTAACCTGAGATAGGTATACAAATTACGCTAGGAAGGAGCTGAGGAAAACGCATGCTCTTACAGCAATGCTAACAGCATGCATATACAGTATATACCCAGCACTGCATCTCACAGCAAGCAAGCTTGAAACTAAGAAGGTAAGCCACAATTCCCAGTACCTAGCAAACTGGTACTATTATCACTTGCATCAGGCAAGCCGTTATCGCAGTTACTCACGTTCAACAAGCTGACTGTCTTTCTGGCAGCATCAATTCAGCTGTTGACAGTATAACTTGCATCAATCAAGCTAGAGCTATACAGTCGAGAATTTGCGAGGTGCAACATTTTTCGTCAAGCCAGAGGCCTGCTCATGCAGGTTATCATAAAAAGTAATAACTTATAATTTATTTTGACTCAGAACGTTTCCAATCATCACCGAGTCTTTATTAATTAATAGGACCCCAATTTCTGCTCGTCAGAAATAATAACTTACACATAATGGTCACCCTCTTTAGTGAGGGGCTCTGTTTGGAAAGTTCTTTCGCAGATGACATGCAGTTCCTAGGCATAGGGATAGATCCTGCCTTCAAAAAAAGGGGTGGCTCATACGCTTGCCATTGCGCTTATTCTCTCCTTTCTTAACTTGTCCAACCGTTTCTGAAGGTGTCCCTTTTCTGTATCCAATTCCTCTACCCTAGTCCGTTGTTCCCGTATCTAGACAAAAAATGAGCACATTTGTCATTGACATCAACGAATTAGTTAATGCAAATCTTACATATCATAATAGTAATGTTTTGCTGAAATTTCCTTATTGCTGTGTTTCTTGTTTTGAAAACCTGGAACCCGGAACCAGTTAAGTGAGACGGCCATGATGTCAATACCGGAGCCAAAAAATAAAGCTTTGTAAACTTATATCTAATCATCATTAATCTGTCGTAATGGATCTCGTGAGGATGCCACAGCAGATCTGATCAGTGTGAAGATATGGATCTCCAAATGATTTAATTACCTCTCGTTGCATCTTTCTCTTCTCGGCCTTTAAGTCATCAGCTTCCTTCTCAGCATCCTTTGCTAGTGCCTCAGCCCTCTTTGCATCCCTTTCTAAACGACCCATCTGGGATGACAACAGCGGATAATTAGAAGAATGACGGGATCAAGTCCCTATAAACAACTTCAGCACCACCAGCAGCATCAACTTCAGCACCACCAGCAGCAGCATCAACTTCAGCACCACCAGCAGCATCAACTTCAGCACCACCAGCAGCATCAACTTCAGCACCACCAGCAGCATCAACTTCATTGCAGTCACAATCGCGAGCAAAACATTAACTTGTCCAACGTTTCTGAAGGTGTCCCTTTTCTGTATCTAATTCCTCTACCCTAGTCCGTTGTTCCCGTATCTAGACAAAAAATGAGCACATTTGCATTGACATCAACGAATTAGTTAATGCAAATCTTACATATCATAATAGTAATGTTTTGTGAAATTTCCTTATTGCTGTGTTTCTTGTTTTGAAAACCGAGTGAGACGGCCATGATGTCAATACCGGAGCCAAAAATAAAGCTTTGTAAACTTATATCTAATCATCATTAATCTGTCGTAATGGATCTCTTGAGGATGCCACAACAGATCTGATCAGTGTGAAGATATGGATCTCCAAATGATTTAATTACCTCTCGTTGCATCTTTCTCTTCTCGGCCTTTAAGTCATCAGCTTCCTTCTCAGCATCCTTTGCTAGTGCCTCAGCCCTCTTTGCATCCCTTTCTAAACGACCCCATCTGGGATGACAACAGTGGATAATTAGAAGAATGACGGGATCAAGTCCCTATAAACAACTTCAGCACCACCAGCAGCATCAACTTCAGCATCAACTTCATCCAAAAAAA